TCTAACGCTGTGGTGATTGTGTTTTTGTGCACACCGAGTCGAGTTTGCGCCACATTTCAGAAAGGTAAAAAAACGTGCCCTTCCTTTGCTACATGGAACACAGTCAATGGGAACAGTATTCTGAGTATACGCTACACACACGCGCATACACACCAAACACACACACGGACACTGGGGCCCCTCTTTGCACTCCAGCTTGAAAATATGAACTGGGGGGGGCTTGGCCAATCACCTTTGAACCTATTAAGGGGAAGTGCTAGAGCAGACGAGGATCAAGGGTGGGGTGGCTATAGTTTGGAGTTCATACAGATTCCACTGAATACGATGACATGGTTTGTGGGGATGTGGTATTTTTATAGTTTCAAGCGAACCAGGTTAGAGCCCAATTACATTAAAAAAATAATAATAATTTTGTGCGTATTCTCATGCCTCTATCACGCGTGTGACCAAAGGGGCACCAAAATTATGATCTATGCATTTGGTGTAACATTGGGTTTGTCTTAAGGAGTCTTAAAAAATGGGCTGTAGGCATTAACAGTATAACGCAACGTAATTATTTAATTGGAAACTCATTTTCTGCACATACACGGCGCTTTTGGTTATTTAACTTTGAGTTAATTTATGAACGTTTGCTTTTTACGTTGCGTGACCTTTTCCTAAAAAAAAAAAAATGTGTTAGTCTTTTGAAGCAAAAAAAATCCGCCATTTTAAAGATAACATTCACTTATTCTCGCCAATATCTCCTTTATACGATTGTTCTGTGGAAAGCCTGTAATTTTTCTTCAGCTTAAAAATTCAGTTGTGTAAAGCTCTGACCTAGTTTCATATTTTCATGTATTTGTGTACGTAGACATAAAAAACCCCCAAAAAACAACTAATAAATAAATGGTTTTAAAAATCTCCTATGATGCAATTGCACCACAGGTAAACCCAAATTGAGGTGGTGTATAGGGTTGAATTCTACTCGCTACTTGGATATTTTTATTTTTTATTTTTTTCCAACAACGTAAAAAAATGCAACTTGCCCATTCCCACGTGCACATATGTGCACATGTACTGGAAGAAAGAAAATGGCATGGTTGTAAGGGGGTGGGGTATGTGTATTTGAGAGGAAGACCGACATCAAACACGCATGTTTAAATGTACACAACTTCCTTTAAACTCAGTTCTTTAGTAAATTTAGTACTGGTGATTTTGTTTCTAAAGCTGGGTTTAAATTGTAAATTAATTGAACAGTACTCAAACTTCTCATGGTTGCTTATAGATCACTCTAGTGTAAGATTCTTGGTCACAGGGTCAGCGTGGGCCCCACCTGCACCCCCCTCCAAAAAAAAGAAAAAGATGAGTTGGGGTGCCAGAGATTATGAATGTGGCCCTTGTTTTACTTGGACTGCAGGCAAATGCTAACTCTCCCTCAGTCTAGACTCAATCAGACTGGCATTGACTTATAGCTTGTTCTTAAACCTGTTCTGTAAGATCTGGAGGTAAGACATCGTGCATAATGGCTTTTCGGATATGGCAAGCTCTAACTGTTCAACTCTGGACTGCCAGAATTTCAATATCCAATGCATTAATGTAGTTTATTGGGTTCATGGTTTGCATGCACGTAAGGCCTGTGAGGGCAGTGGAAACCAGACTGTGTGGAGTTCAGTCATTCAGAACCTCTGCCTTCTGATAAGCAGTGGCTGTGGATGGGCGTTGAGCACAGACCTCGTGTGTTTCTCTCTGTCAACAATGGTGTTGACGTACAGTGCTTCATTATGGGGCGGGATGAGTGAGGAAAAGAAATGGAGATGACTACAGGTATCATGTAGCATTATTCTGCTCAACTTATGAACGCTGTTGTAGTATACATTTGCATGCTTGTGTATACGTGTCTATTGAAACACCTGTATGCACGGTCTCCCATCAGGAGGCCACAGGTCTCAGCTGGGCTCCAAGAATGGGACGAATGTGTAGAATGTTGGTCCGTTTGAAAGTAATAAGGTGCTCGGCCTCCTCCTGGCCATCACATGACGAGCCAACCCTAGTCACTCTTGGCCCTCCCTCCTTTCCTCCCCTCCCACTTTTAACCCTGCTCTACATGTTCCTGTCAGTGACTTGTCCGTGTCCATGGCAACGGGGCCCACCCCCACGGGGCAGAGGGGCCCTTGTTACCCTTGCTTGAAACTGGGCTATCCCCCCCATACCCACACCCCACTCACACAGCCTCACACACACCCACCCCTCCCCAAATCAAAGACTGGGACTGGGGAATGTATACCACCCACACCCCCCCACCCCACCACATACCCTGGCTGACTTCTTGTGTGTGTGGGTGGGTGGGTATAGGTTAATCCAACTGGAAGTGCTTTGTGCATTTGCACATTTCGCATGGCCGTTCCACCGCAATGCAGAGCATACCAAATGTGTGGGGAGATGCTGCAAGATCAGCCAGGAATGGCACAGGGCCGGAAAGGGCTGAAATTCCTGGTGGGAGTTATTTGGGAAGTTTTCTTTACAATTTGCCCATTTAGAGTTAAGTAGTTTCTTTAATGCGTGGTATAAATATATTGTACCCCTATAAGTGTGACTGTAGTCCTAGTGGCTAAGTTGAGTAATTTCAGCTTTATGCCCTTATTGCAGCCGTCTCCAACCTTTTTGCGCCACAGACCGGTTTATGCCCGACAATATTTTTCACGGACCGCCTTTAATGTGTCGCGGATAAATACAACAAAATAAAACTGTACCGAAAAAAAGATTTATTCATAAACACACGTGAAAAGACCCAGAAATCCGAGTTAATGATCAAAACGATAACAAAATAACGCTGAAAAACCGATTTTAAAAACCCTGAAAACCATACATTTCACACCTGAGCTCAACCTCCGCGGCCCGGTACCAAACGACTCACGTACCGGTCCGAGGCCCGGGGGTTGGGGACCGCTGCCTTATGTACACATGCAGTACAATTTTTAGTGTGCGCACATTCATGTATGGAAAGTTTCAAATTTGTGTAGTGAATCTTGATCTTAAAAATTAAGTTCACTGTGTAAAAGGGGAGTTCATCAATGCTGCATGTTGAAAGGTGCCATTCTTGTGCAAACTACCACACTGTTAATGGTCTTTTAGAAGAAAAGAAAAAATAAATCTGCCCTGTACATGTAGATCCAGAGGCGCTCGGGGACATTGAGAGAAAAGGGGTGAAATATGTAGTAAATTCTAGACTTTACACAAGGGGCAAAAATGTCACGTAATGCTAAACTGACTGCACGGAACTGTGGTGTTGTGTGTGTTGTGTGTGTGTGTGTATAATGTGCGACGTGTGTATAATGTGCATGTAAAGGCGATGTGGAACTGTCTGGGTCAAGTTTTCATTCCACGTCGTGTGTGTGTGCGCGCATGCCTCAGCTCCAAGCCATATGTACGCCTTTTCTTTAGGTGTGTGTGTCAACAGGCAGTGGACTTTGGAGTGGCTTGTACTTTTCACATTTTTACACAACATGCAGACAGACCCTTATGAAACTTAGAGTAACTGATTCAGAAGGCCTACTGTCTGCATGACCTCCACACATAACCACTACACTTATGCAGCTGTAAAACATAATGAAAGTGGAGCCATAAGCAATATTCTGTCTCAATTATTCCTTCCTATGCAACAATGCAAAACTCAACTGTTTGTCTTCACTTGCGTCTTCTGCATGCACACTCTGAGCAAGTGCCTTTTTTTTTTTTTTTTTTTTTTTTTGGAGTCTTCCTATGTAGTGTGATGTAAGAGATGAGGGGAACAACCCAAAAAAACCCAATGGGTCTGAGACTTGAAGTTGTTAAAATCTCATGATTCTGTACTATAGGATGCATGCTAGAGTCAGGTTGCGTAGATGTTTTCTTCCCCCCCCCCCCCCCCCCCAGCTTTCTTCGTGATGCATCTTACTACTACCACCATCTGTTGGATTTACTTTTTTCCCCCCTCTTGTCCCCTTCTTCCCTTGTCACTCTTTGGTCTCTGTAACACAGCTGGTAATTGGGAGAAGGGCGTGGTGTATGTGATTGTGTGCGTGTGTTACATTAATTTGAATTTTGGGAAACTCGAAACTAAACTACCCACTTTTTTTTTTTTTTTTTTTTTTTTTTTTTCTCTCCTTTCTATTTCATGCAGGCTGTTTCAGTACACCTGAGTTTAGAGTGGAATTAAAGACCTTCTGTCCAGTGTCCATCTTACTGAGAAATAAGTCCTTTGGGTTTTTAAAAAACAAAAACAAAACAAAACAAAACACAAACCTCTTCTGTATTATCCTTGGTATTGTCACTTATTAACTAGCTGTTGCTTTCTTCCATCTTTGTCCCATCTACCTTCATTTCTTTATCCATTCACCCCTCACCTCTTTCCCTCTTGTTCTCTCTCCAGGAGCTGTAAGCTGCAGATCAGGAACATCCCGCCTCACATGCAGTGGGAGGTGAGTGCTAACAGGCTGCTAACCGCTTCCAGGGCGGGGCACCATGGGGCAGCCCAACTGGGCTCTCGTTTAGTGGCCTCTGGAGTTACCTTGCCTCCTTTTGGGTTTCAATTGAGCATGCACTTGATGATTAGTTTGACTTTGGCTGCTGTAGCTTAGTGCAACATACTGACCGGTATCGGTGGGTAAGGAGGGGGGGACTCTTACTAATGTCACTAGGCAGTTGACAGTCGGGATTAGAGATTTTAATTTGTTTTTATTAAATTTTCACTACCTTTGAGTGTTGTGGTGTTTTGGCTTTTTAGGGAAAAAA